CATACTTAATAAATACTATTACACAAAAGCAATATTAGATATCAAGGGAACAAAATCTAGTTTTGATCCATTGCCAAAGTGATAGAAAAACTGGCACAGAAAAGGCCAATTCAGCAAAAACAAAATATGATAACTGAACTACAAATTAAATATGGGATGAAGAGAAGTTTCATCAATCTTCTCACCAAAGGAAACAAAATAATGTTAATAAAGCCTTGTATATAAAGATCTCACCTAAAACATGTGCATTTATATTCGTTGCTCACCCAAAAAGTGCTCTAAGGACCCCAGGCCAAGGAGACACAAATTCAGTGAAAAGACCCCATATATCTTGATGAATAAATTTAAACCATTTAAATTAATATCGTCCTATAATCTAGAGTATATATTTCAATATTCATAGCATTTGTGGATTTGTGATATTGGTATATAATTAGAATGCAATCAAATGTATTGGACAATAAGATTATGCTGCATGTAATTTAATCTTTGGTGATTCAGAAAGCACTTTAAGCTATTATGGTTTTCAGAGTCAACATTAGGCACTTTATAACTTTTCATTGTAGAAGTAAAATATGTAGATACAGAATAACAGAGATTTCCAGTAGATACAATGTTTTATAAATGAATTTTACTATACCTCCTGTTCATGTTGTGATAGAAAGAATACAAAGAGGCAGAACACACAGAATTGTTAGGGCAAGGAAATTATTCTAGATTATATTATAATAGTGAATAAATATCATTAGGTTCAATTCCAAAAAGTACAATCCAAAGGATAAAGTTAAGTATTGATTGTGGATTTTTGGTATTCTTATGACAAAACAGAGCAATCATAAGTGTACTTTATTTTTAACTGAGTTATTTGCTTTCTTGCTATCTAGATTCTTGAGTTTTTATATACTTTGAATATTAGCCCTCTTTTGGATATGAAGTTATTAAAAATCTTCATCATTTCTGTAGGCTGCCACTTTTTCTTCATGATGGTGTCCTTTGCTATCCAGAAGCTTCTCAGTTTCATGAGGTCCTGTATATTATTTGTTGATCTTAGATTGTGTGCTAATGGTCTTCTGTTAAGAAAGTCTTTTCTTGTGCCAATAAGTTCAAGGCTATTCACCATTTTATCTTCTCTTGGGTTGTGTATCCAGTTTTATGTTAAGTTCTTTAATCCATTTGTAATTGAGTCTTGTTCAGGCATATATAGATCTATTTCGATTCTTCTTTTCTGTGCAGCCATCCAGTTTGACTATCATCACTTGTTGAAGATGCTGTCTTTTTTCCAATGTGTATTTCTGGCTTCTTTATAAAAAATCTGATGCCAATAGGTGTGTGGATTTGCAGGTTGATTACATTGATTAACGTGTGTGTTTTTGTGCCTTTACCATGCTTTTATTTTTTCAACTAAACTTTTCTTTCTGAGGGGTAAGGAAGGAAACACACATGTTCTGATGGTGACTTTCTCTTTTACTTCATCTTGAAAAATCTTCTCTGAAAATCTCTCTGTCTCCATATAGTTACATATTTTTCCACACGGCTACATCTCTCTTTTACACAGCCACACATCTCTATTCTACATATCTCTCCGCAAAAAGAAACTCTGGTCAAATATATGAGTTACGTTTTGAGGGTCACATCTGTTCAGGGAGTTGTCTTTAATGTTATCAGCCAGACTTTTGTAAATGAAGAACTAGCACTAAAGTTGCTTTATGCTTGACATTGGTTCAGTATGCATTTGGGACTCTGTTCTTGGGCAATTCATTTGGAGGAGCAACTGGTCTTCTTTGACTTTGTTTTTAAGTCTTAAATCAGCTAAGGGTGTAAAAAGCTGCCTTTGCAGCTGAGAATGCTGTTATTTTCCTGTGCAACTTCATTGCCTATTCCCAGTGATATTCTTATTCCAACAATTCCACACCTACTCAAACAAGGACAAACTTCCTAAACCTTCCCAAGTAGTGCCACTTCTTGATGACTAAGCATTCAAATATATTAGCCTATTGGGACAGCACTTATTCAAAACACCACACAAAATTTTCACTTAGATGATTAGAGTTACCCCAAGATAATTTGTGTTAGGTAAGGCTATTATGAAGTTGTTTCCCAGTTTTCTTTTTCAGCCTGTTTTTGTAGAGGAGGACTATTGATTTTTGTGAATTAACTTTGTATCTAGCTACTTCGTTGAAGTGCTTACTAGCAACAGGAGTTACCCAATGGAATCCTTAGGGCCACTTATGCATACTATCATATCATCTGTAAATAATGATATTTTGACGTCTTCCTTTCCAATTTGTATGCACTTATTCTCCTTTAGTTGTGTTATTGATCTATCTCAGACTTCAAGTACTATATTAAATAAGTATGGAGAGAGTGGACAACCTTGTCTTGTTGCTGATTTAAGCAGAATTGCTTTGAGTTTCTCTTCATTATTTTGATGTTGGTTATGGACCTCATGGAAACTGCCTTTAGCATGTTGAGGTATGTCCCTTGTATCCCTAATTTTTCCAGGACTTTCATCATTTGGAGGCCACCTTTTCAAAGGTCTTTTCTGCACTTAATGAGATAATTACTTATTAATTACATGGTTTTTGTCTTTATATCTGTTTATATGTTATGTTACTTGTTAATTTGCATATGTTGAACCATCCATGTATCTCTGGGATAAAGCATATTTTATTATGGTAGATGATCTTTTATATGTGTTATTGGATTTGATTTGTGAGTATTTTATTGAGAATATTTGCATCTATGTCCATAACGAAAATTGGTTTGTTATTCTCTTTCTTTGTTGGGTCTTTATGTGGTTTCCATGTCTGGGTAACAGTGGTCTTTGTAAAACAAATTGAGTAATGGTCCTTCTTTTTCTATTTTGTGTCCTCATTTGGTGAATATCTTCAGAATGTCTTCTTTAAAACCTGGTAGAGCCGGGCGGTGGTGGCGCACGCCTTTAATCCCAGCACTCGGGAGGCAGAGCCAGGCGGATCTCTGTGAGTTTGAGGCCAGCCTGGGCTACCAAGTGAGTTCCAGGAAAGGCGCAAAACTACAGAGAAACCCTGTCTCGAAAAACCAAAAAAAAAAAAAAAAAAACCTGGTAGAATAAAACCACTTAGCCCTGGACTAATTTGGCTTTTTATGCTTTTAATGTCTGCTTCCAATTCACTAGGGGTTATGGGTATGCTTAAATTGCTTATCTGATCCTGATTTAACTTTGGTAAGTGGTATGTATCAAGGAAACGATCCATTTCTTTTAGATTTGCCAGTTACATAGAGTACAGGATTTTAAATTATGTCCATGTGATTCTCTGGATTTCCTCAATGTCTTTTCTAATTTTGCTAATATGTATATTCTCTCTCTCTCTCTCTCTCTCTCTCTCTCTCTCTCTCTCTCTCTCTGCCTTTTGGTTAATTTGAATGAGAACTTATTGATTTCCTCAAAATAAAAACCCAACTGCTTGTTTCATTGATTCTTTGTATTATTTTATTTTGTTAAATTTATCCCCAAGTTTATTTCTTACCATCTACTTCTTTTGTGTGTGATTTCTTCTTTTTGTTCTAGAATTTTCAGATGTGCTGTTAAGTTACTAGTATGAGCTCTCTCCTATTTTTTAATATAGATAATTAATGGTGTGACCTTACCTCTTAGAACTGCCTTAAATGAGAAAAATAATTAAAATCAAAATAAACAAACAAAAATCATGGAACTGATTATTTTGGTCAACTACTCTTGGGCCTGGAGCCTGCCCCAGAGTGTGGTTGACATTGTATTTGGGAAAACTAATTTTCCCTTTCCCAGGAGGTATCAATTGCAAATACCTCCTTTGTTAGAGGTGGGTCTTTGTGTTCATTTCCCCTTTCCCCTTCTGGGATTTGTTCACCTTGAACATGTGCAGGTCTTTTGCATGCTGACACAATTTGAAACTTTTGTCTTATTGTGTTTTTCATTGTTTTGATTTTTAGTTTTGGAATTTGTTTCTATTTTTTGAGAGAGAGAATATGCATGAAGTTGGATGTGTAGGAAGGTGATGATAATATGGGAACATAGAGAATGTCAGTATAGTGACCATTTCTTATAGCTTCTATAGACATCTAAAATTCTCATTACTTTTCCCATGGCATTGATTCAAAATATCAGTGCTTATATAACTTGTCATTTTTTCTGATGTCTCTGCTTGTTCAAATAACTATGTGATTGCTTTCTTTTCTTCAACCCTTACTGATAAATGTGAAATTTACTCAAGGCAGTGCGGTGTCCCAAGAAAATCTGATAAACTACAGGAATAACTCAAAGGCAAACAGAAAAGATGAGCACTGCAAAATACAAATGTATGGTTTTAATATAAACATATATATTAAATATATTTAGTCATATAATGAATGCAACCATGTTTGGTGAATTTTGTGTAAAAATAAGGAAATGATGAACATAAAATTCAAGACTGTGATTACTTTTGACAGAGAAGACACAATTATTCCGAAGTGCATAAAGTTCTTTCTTGATATGATTACTGAGATTACAGATGTTAATTAATTATTAATTATACATGTATGCTGTACATAATTTTAATAAAATTTTATTAAGTATAACTAATCATGCTTTATAATACAGAGTGATAAGGTTTACTAGAACTATGAATAGATCAGAAATCATCAGCTAGTCTGTCAGCTAGTATGTGGTTGGGTAGCATCTAAGCCTCTGGATGGAGCAGTTTTGTGTACTGTCCCAAGTGCATTCCATAATAAAATGATGCTTGTTTACATTGAAATGACAGGGTTAGATTTCTGATAACTATCTGATAATGTCAGGTAAATGTTTGCTATATTACACTGTTCACCTTGGTGTTAATACTTAATTGAATTTCAAATTTCAGAAAGATATTCTAAAATTAAAATATAAAATATTTATCCATTTTTCTTTTTTTGAACCACAAGGAAAAATCAAAACAAAGAAAACTAAAAGGATATATATATATATATATATATATATATATATATATATATATATATGTGCACATACATACATACAGCTATTACCCATAATCATAAAATACCAAACATTTATTTTTCTATGCAGGTCCTCCCAATAATATCATCCCTACCCAAAATGGATTCCCTGAAGTACCCTTAGGCTACTTCTCTCAAAGTCTCTGCTGCAGCTTGCACTGTGAAGGCTGCAATAGAAATCTGTCTCTTCACTTCTCTCCAGGCCTTGGAAGGATCCACTTTGCTATCAATATCAAAAAGGGCATCATAAATCCCTGGGAATGACTCTCCTGCATATTTGTTGTGGCTGCTTGGAGCATAGATGATATGCCTGTTGATAAAACAGATTTCTGTCCATTCAGTGCACAAACAATATATAAGAAAAATAAGGCACTATATTCAAGTTGCATACTCCTTATTTTGTTACTTGAATTATTCAGTTGTTTCCTGAACTTAAAATGCTATGATCTCCAGGCACATTAATACACATAATTTTTACTTTTAATGAATAACTCAAGGTGTTTCAGAGCTATACAAATAAGAGTAAGGATAGCTAGTATGAACTATGTTTATTATTTAAAAAGGTAACTTACTATTTTCTTTAATTACTAAAAATAAACTGTATAATGTTGATAACAGTGTCCTCAGAGGAGAAAAGTGATCTGAGAACAAAAGTCATAAAATAATTAGTCTCCATGCACATTGCCAGTAAGTATGATGTTTGCATCATACTCCCTGATAAACACATCATGACATCGTGCTTATAGCCAGCCTCGTATGCATTAGTGTCACTTTTTATTGTTTTGTTGGTACTGGGATTAAAAGCGTGTGTCACCACATTTGGCTGTTCCCTAGTGTGTCCTTGAACACACAGAGACTCTGCCTGCCATATGATTGGATTAAGGGTGTGTGCTACCACTGTCTGACTTTTGTTTATAGCTGGCTATGACCTCTGGTCTCCAGGCAAACTTTATTTATTAACATACCAATAAAATATCACCATATTTCAGCACAAATAAAATATCACTATAGGAGACATGACAGCAGAAGTATAGGGTAGCTGAGCATATTGTATCCACTCAGGCAGCAGAGAGATGAATGCTGATTATCCAATTACAGTCTTTATTTATTCCATCCAGACCTTACATCGTGTTATGATGCCACCTACATTAAGTGTGTGCGTTCCCAAATTGGTTAAACATATCTGTAAACAACCTCACACCTAGAGGTTTGTCTCTTAGGTCATTCTAAATCTCATCAAGTTGACTATAACACTAACCATCACAGTCTCCAACAGTTCAAAATGATTCTGAGTAGAAATAATAATCATAATTATTTGCTCCATTTCATAATGGAGCAAAGACCATAATGTAAGACCTAAAACCCTAATAATGATATAATATAGGGAAAACATTTCAAAGTGTAGGTATAGACAAGGATATCTGAAAAGAATTCCAAATGCTAATAAATAATGCCAAGAACTGACTAATATGTCTTAAGGAAAATTTAAAGGTTTTTTTTTTTACAACAGAGTACAACCAAATGAAGGGAATATCAATGAAATTGAAGGAAATCTTTTGTAGTTAAACACCTAAGAGAGGATTGATTTCTAGAATATTTAAAGAATACACTCATTAAACACCCAGACCCTAAACAACTCAGTTAATAAATTGGTAAATGAAATAAACACACTGTTCTCAAAAGATGAAGCATAACTCTCCAATAACCATGTTAAAAGGTGTTTACCACACTAATTATCAGGGAAATTGAAATAAAAACCACCTTGATATTCCAGCTCTCCCCAGTAATTAACAAACAAGAACAAATGCTGATAAGGATGTAGGGAAATGGGAACATTTATACAGTAATGGTTGGGGTGTGCCTAGTCAAATTACTATAGGGATAAATATGAAATTACCTCAAGAAAACTACAAATAAAACTACCATATGAATCAGATAACACACTTCTGGGTGTATGCCTGAAGGACTCTCCACCTATGACAGAGATAAATGCATACCAGTGCTTATTGTATCACTGTTCATTAAAACCGAGTCATAGGACCAGCCTAGAGACCTATCAATGATTAATAGAAAAGAAAGTGGTATAAACACTCGTGTGAGTGTGTGTGTGTGTGTGTGTGTGTGTGTGTGTGTGTGTGAAAAACAATGGGGTTTTATTCAGTTACCAAGAGGAATGGAATTATGCTTTTGCTAGAAAAATGGATGTAATTAGAAATCATCATATTATGCAAAATAAGCCATATACAGAAGGATAAGTTACATTTGCTTTAATTGTGGGTCTTAGAACTCCTTAAAGACATGTGAAAAACAGAAAGGACATTACAGGAATGAAGGAAGCCAGTGATAAGGGACAAGGGGACATGGTACTTAGAGTGCTGAATGAGACTGGGATGAAGAACCAAGTATTTATGTTTGAAACAAACATTCTTTATCGAACCTAATTCTGTGTACAGTGAAATTTAAAGGTTTTGTTACAGCAGTAACAAAATTTTACCTCACTAAAATATTTTAAATAATAAAATTAAATAAACTATGGTATTTTTTACACAATGTGATATTAGACTATAGAATAATTTTTTTCTCACCTGTAGAAAGGCCTGCCTGGTAACCCTAAAGGATCAATGAAGGCACGTTCCAGATACATCAGCTGGTCATTCATAATTCTCAGTGATATAGGGCTAAAAAAGAAATTAATAAAGCTGTATCTCCATGAAGTTATGAACACCACCTGATAAACTATAAGTATGCAGTAAAATCAAACTCACATGCATTTTAAATCATTGTAACATCTAAATTAAGAATATCAGTAACATTATACAGACTGAGCAGGTTGTATTTATGTATTTAGGAATATTGTAACAACAATTATTAGAAAATGAGGTCACAAATTCAAAAAGAAAAAAGAAGGGTATGAATAGATTGGAGAGAGCAATGAGAAGGTAGAAATGATATAATTGTATTATTATCTCAAAAAAGTAATAAATTAAAAAAATATATCAGCATACATAATCCTCATATTTCAGAAATCCCATGAAATACTATTCAAATAAAACATTAACAATAAAACAGTAATGTGTTAGTGGTAAAACATGATAATATGGCCGGGCGGTGGTGGCGCACGCCTTTAATCCCAGCACTCGGGAGGCAGAGCCAGGTGGATCTCTGTGAGTTCGAGGCCAGCCTGGACTACCAAGTGAGTCCCAGGAAAGGCGCAAAGCTACACAGAGAAACCCTGTCTCGAAAAAAAAAATGATACTAACTTTAATGCACAGGGAAATGAGAATTAATAATCCTGGGATTATAATTAATGTCAGTTTTTTTCACTTTACAGATCCTAACAATCTACTCTCAGATTTAATATAAACATTGAAATATGAAAAGATATTAATATCTATTACATTTATGAAAATTAAAAATATTGAATAAGTGACAATAAAACTCTTATTATTAAAGATATATTTGTCAAGTATATAACCCTTACTTTACATTTTTATTAGTATTCAAATATAATGTAGCAAACATTCTTACAGTGTTCACATTCTCAAGAGAGATTATAGGGTTAATATAGGAAGTTATTATTGTTAATAAAAATGAATCAATGCAATTAAAAATCTACCACCAACCCCCAAATAATTCAATGACTAATTATGAAATATGGTATTCTAATTACATCACGATATAATTAGTAAACATTATAGTTTTAATAAATAGTTGTTTCATCCACGAATTTATCTAGATTTTCATTTTATATTACTTTTAACAAGAGTAGCATATAATAGTCCTTCACTCTTGTAAATGCTTTTATAATAAATTTAACTTCAGAGCAATCCTGAACATTTTACCGGTTATAACTCTATGTCAGAAATTAAGGATCAGTTTAGTGAAGTTTAGAATTTTAGAATTAACCAGTGAATTTTGTAAAATTTGTCAAATTCTGTTTATGGTTTTGGTTTTACACATAATTATTCCCATTTGTTCAGCACTCCTAAAAATAATAACTTCACAGTATTTATTGTTCTGGATAAACTGAATGTTTTTTGTTTTTTTTTTTT